GAAGTGCGGCACCCAGAATTGCACACAGTACTCCAACTGCGGTTTGACCAGTGCCCGATAGAGGGGAAGTATCACCTCCTTGGACCTATTGGTCATGCATCTGCTGATGCGCGATAAAGTGCCATTGGCTTTTTTGATGGCTTCGTCACACTGCCGACTCATGTTCATCTTGGAGTCCACTAGGACTCCAAGATCCCTTTCCACTTCTGTGCCACCCAGCAGGTCATTCCCTAGGCTGTAGGTGTGCTGGACATTTTTCCTCCCTAGGTGCAGCACTTTGCATTTCTCCTTGTTGAACTGCATTCTGTTGTTTTCTGCCCACTTGTCCAACCTGTCCAGGTCTGCTTGCAGCTGTTCCCTGCCCTCCGGAGTGTCCGCTTCGCCCCACGGTTTTGTGTCATCCTCTGAGGAAGCCAGAGCACCAAGCCAAGCCGGACCCCCATGGGGCACACAACCCTGCCCTGCCTTCTCCCCAAGCCAAAGACCCATTCTCTCCCCGCAGTCCCTTCTGCCACCGCCTTCTGCCCCCTCGGACTTCTCCGTGGGCCTCACAAGGCAGCGCCAGGAGCTGCACTCAGCTAGGCAGAGCTCTCCCCCACATGCCACACACCCACGCGCCCAAGGCATCTCTGGAGAGCCCGGCACGCGGCGCCCCAGTCCGAGGAGAGCCCGGCTGGCACCAGTACCTTGTCTCGGAGCTGAGAGCTGCTGAGCAGCTCGTCCTTCTGCAGAAGCAGCACCAGGTCCTTGTACACCGACCGCTGGACTGCAAGCAAGCAGAGGTGGATGCAGCTGAGGTGGCCTGCTCCCCACAGGGCTGGTACCCAGGGCCTGGTCTCCAGGCACAGCAGGGGGTTGTTCCACCCCATCTCTGGGGCAGGGGAGTGCCTGGGACAGCCCCCACCCACATCCCCCCAGTGGGGTCCGGCCCCCCACCCCTCTCCGCCCCCCAGGAGGGGCTCAGACTCACTGGAATCACCCAGAATCACCACGAACTTGTTGTGCAGCAGCTGCTGGGCCTCCTTGGTCAGGAAGGTGACCATGGCCATGGCCAGTGGCCCCCACGCCAGCCTCTACACAAGCACGACAGGAGAAAAGCCCGTGAGAGGCAGGTCCCAGGGGGGTGGGCAGCCTAGGGGGACGGGGGGACACAAAGCTAGCCAGGAGCCCCCCCACCCCAAGGGAGGGTGCAGGACAGGCTGCGGAGCCGGGCAGTGAGATGCAGCCCAACCGCTGCGGCCTGATTACTGCTCCCACCCTGGCCCGGGATGGGCCCAAGGGAGACCCCGAAAGACAGCCACAAAGAGTTAAATGAGTTAGGGTGAGGGATCGGGGCTATGCTTAAACGGGTTAAGGGTCAGGGGTCAGGTTACAGGTCAGGGGTTGAGGTTAGGGGTGGGGTAGGGTTAAACAGGTTACGGGTGAGGGGTTATCGTTATGGGTCAAGGTGCTGAAGTTAGGAGTTAGGGGTAGGGTTAAACAGGTTAGGGTTAAATGAGTTAGGGGTCAGGGGCTGAGGTTAGGGGTAGGCTTAAACAGGTTAGGGGTAGGGTTAAATGGATCAGGGGTCAGGGTTAGGGTTAGGGTTAGGGGGTAGCCCCAACGTCTGACCCCACTGCCGGACACCCCCTCCCCTCCAGCCCCGCTCCCCCACTGCCACAGGCCCAGACTTGGCCCCACTGCACCCTCTGCCCCCCACCCAGGGGAGCTGGGCCCGGTCCCACCACCCCGACCTGCTCCTCGGTACCGGAGGCGGCCGCGATGCTCCGGGCAGTGCCGCCGGGTTGGGGAACACGCGCTCCGGCCCCTCGAACCCGCAGCCCGGCTCCCCCCCTGCAGGGTCCCAGCTCCCTCCGGAGCCAGCTCTGCTCCAAGGCTGCTGCTCACGCCTGCAGCTCCTTATCAGGGAGGGAGGGAGGGAGCAGAGACACAGGAAACCCCAGCAGGCATCCGTCGGCCTCCCCCGCCACCCACTCCGGCCTGCCCCCCACCTGCCCTGGTGCAGCACGGCGCACGGCGCGGCACTAGTGAGCGCACGAGGGGCCCGGAGCCCCTGCCCTGCTCCCTGCACCCACAACACCAGGCTTGGACCGGACCCTGCAGGGCTGGGGGAGGGGCAGGTGGGGCTGCTTATGGTGGAACAAAAGCAGGACAAGGGCCTGGAGGTGTATATGGGGCAGTCACAGCAGTGCCGCCCCCTCAGCTCTGGACCCTGGGCCAGCCTGCGCCAGGTGCTGTACAAATCCAGCCACACGTTACAAACGTGACACCACTGCCGGATGAACCGCGCAATAAAACCCCGGCCGGACACCCACGCAAATCATTTCCATGCCATCGAAACGTCCAGGCGGGTCCAAAAGGGGTCACCCAGCTACCGAGCGCGCCTGCTCCAGAGCTGGCTTGCCGTGTTGGAGCGGGTGGCCTGGCTCCAAGGGGATGTCTGTGCTGCACTCCAACGGGCAGCGCTGCATGCCAAGACCACGGGGCACGTCCGGGACCCCCTGCAGCTGGCCGAGTCTGGGCTGGGCTGCCTCGTACCCGGCACCCCCAGAGCCCCATCTACACTGGGGGGGTTGGCTCCCAGAGGGGACAGCATGAGCTAAGGGATGGAGTGCTGTCCTGGGAACCCTGTCTCTGCTGAGGGAGCCTGGGTAAAGTCTCTCCCCGCTTCATGCCTCAGTTTCCTCCTCTCTGCAAGCAGAAGGAATCAGCCTGCCTCCAGGAGGGCTGGCACAGGGCTGGCGGAGGGGTGGGCTTTGTCACGCAGCAGAAGCTGCAAGCCCAGATCTGACCCTGCCCCACCCCGTAAGGGACCCTCCAGGCCTCCAGTCACAGGCACTGGGGTGCCCTGGGTCCGCAGACTGGGGAGCAGGGCCACGAGCCACACTGACTCCACGTGCGCCCCGCTCCAGCACCAAGGGCCGGGCCTGAGCCTGGGCCAACAAGCAGGATGCAAGGCAGGAAGACCAGACACGGGGGAGATCAGCAATTCCTGACCCTTTCATTAGCATGTGCCCAATCAGAACGCAGATTGACGCATCTCATTAACCATTGATGGAGGGGGGGAACCAGCAGCAGCCGCCTGCCCCGCGTGCGAGCGACGCTCTGGCTCCAGACACACAGGAGCGAGCTCCGTCTGCCAGGACCCCAGGACCCTCGCTTGGGGATACAGGGTCCCCTTCCCCCCGCTGGCTCAGTAACCAGCCCCCCCATCCCCTTCACCAGCCCTCCTGGAGATGCAGCTTTCAAGAGGGGGAAACTAAGGCCGTGACCGAGCGAGTGAGCGAGGAGGAGACTTGCCCCAGCTCCCGGCAGCGCCAGGCACAGAACCCAGGTGTCCCGAGCCCCCTCCAGTGCCCCGACCTTCGCTCACGATGTCTCCTGAAGGGCTGCTGGTTAGCCCCCTAGGCCAACCCTAGTGTAGACGAGGCGCAGGGGGAGCCGGGTTCGGAGGCAGCCCAGCTGCGGACAGTCCCCAAGAGCGTGAGCACAAGTAACACAGTAATAAAGATGGCATCCACAGGATCCTGCCAGACACACATGCCAGGGCCACGTCGAGATAGACCCAAGTACCGGGGTCGTGTGGCCCGATCCCACCAGGAGCAGCTCAGCCGGGCTAAGCCCCTTGACACCACTGCAGTCAGGTCCATGCTTGGCCTGAGAGCCAGCAGCACAAGCGGGGTCAGGGCCGCGTGGTGCATGGACGGGACCCAGGATAAGACAGGGGAACGTCACCACGACTTCCAGGCGAGACACAAGCCACTGGACCCATGGACACAGGGCTTCCCTGACCCATGGGCAGCGCCACTTGTGTGGCTGTGGACCTCCCTAGTGGAGTGGGGGTTACAGCAGGTTGAGCAAACCCCTCCCAGGGGGTCACTGATCCTGCCCCGGGCAGTGGGGCCGAGCTCCTGAGGTCTCTTCTCAGCCAGAGCCAAAGGCTGGTCTCCACCACTCCTTGGCCCTAGCTCTCCCACCCTCCCCATGCCCTGCGTAAGGAAGAGCCCCTGGGGCAAGCAAAGCAAAGGGCACATCCCCGCAGCAGGGTCCAAGGGAGCATATAGACTGCAGCAGACCCCAGACTGCTTAACAGCAACAGGGTGCAGCATGTGCTGGCATTCCCATGAGCAGGGCTTGGCTGGGAGAACAGGCAACGGGCATGACGGCTTCACAAGGTGCGAGACGTGGCAGAAAACTGCAGACGGATCGGGAAAAACTAGGTTAAAAGTCTTGCTACAAGTCACTTAGGGACATTCAGTGGCCACAGAATCACAGACAAGGGCTGGAAGGGAGCCCAGGAGGTCACATCTAGTCCAACCCCAGCTACATCATCCCAGCCAAGGCTTTGTCCACCCGGGTCTTCAACACCTCCAAGGATGGAGACGCCACCACCTCTCTGGGGAGCTTGTTCCAGTGCTTTACTACCATCCTCATGAGAGAGTTTCTCGTAATATCCAACCTCAACTTCCCTTGCTGCAGCTTGAGCCCATTGCTCCTTGTCCTGTCATCTGCCCCCACTGAGAACAGCCCAGCTCCATCCTCTTTGCAGCCCCCCTGCAGGGAGGTGAAGGCGGCTATTCAATCCCCCTCGGTCTTCTCTTCTGCAGACTGTCAGCCCAGTTCCCTCAGTCTCTCCTCACCAGTCCTGTCCCCCAGCCCCACAACCATTTTTGTTGCCCTCCGCTGGACTCTCCCCAATGTGTCCACATCCCTTCTGCAGCGGGGGGCCACAGCTGGACACAGGAGTCCAGATGTGGCCTCCCCAATGCCGAACAGAGGGGAAGAATCACTTCCCTTTACCTGCTGGCAGTGCTCCTACCAATGCAGCCCAGGATGCCGGTCGCCTTCTTGGCACCAAGGTCACACTGCTGGCTTCTGTTCAGCTTCTTGTCCCCTGTCCCCCCAGGCCCTTTTGTGCAGAGCTGCTGACCATGCATGGGTCCCCAGGTCAGACAAGGCCGACGCAGACAAGATCTACCCTAGGGGTGGATTAAGAACAGGCCTGTGAGTGCAAAGGAGAGCAGCGCCCGTGGGAGCTTCAGGCTAGTTCAGCCAACGCACAGAGGTCAACATCATGGGTTCATAGATTCATAGATGTTAGGGTCGGAAGGGACCTCAATAGATCATTGAGTCCGACCCCCTGCATAGGCAGGAAAGAGGGCTGGGTCTAGATGACCCCAGCTAGATGCCTATCTAACCTCCTCTTGAAGACCCCCAGGGTAGGGGAGAGCACCACCTCCCTTGGGAGCCCGTTCCAGACCTTGGCCACTCGAACTGTGAAGAAAGAGTTCATGACAAGAGATTCATGTCGAATCTCTGCTCTTCAGCCCTGAACTACAGGTCTTGCTGCATAGTCCATGTGCAGGAGAACTGAGATAGGAGCTCCTTTAAAACGTAACTGGAAACTCAGGTGAGAAGTCCTTTCCCCTAAGGGGCTAGGCCACCTGTTAGAGGTGTTGGAAGACTTTAGGACTCAAAAGTTTTAAGATTCATTTGCTTTCAAAGGAATCCCAGAGCCGTGGGGCTGGCAGGGACCTGCAGAGTGACCACTGAATCCAAGCCCTGCCTGAGGCAGGATCAGCCCCATCCGAACCAGCCCAGACAAACTCCACGTCCAACAGAACAGTCACCCCTGACAGCCCTCGGGAAAGCAGGGGGGCCGCGGCTGCCAACGTCCTGCTGCTGCCAGGGGGGTCACGGGCGCTGCAGAGGAAGGGGAAACCCCCCAGTCCACACCAGTCTGAGAAGGGGGGAAATCCCTCCTTGCCCCAGTGCAGTGTCAGGCTGAACCTGAGCGCGGGGGCAAGACCCTCCAGCCAGGACCCTGCGGGGTCGGTGCAGAAGGAGAGGTGGCCCAGCCCAGCCCCATCCCCAGCCCCAGCCCGGGCTGCAGCACCCAGCGCCACTGGGGGAGGATTAAAAAAACAAATCGGATCTGCAGAAAGCTGTTGTGCACCCAGATAAACGAGCCCTTCAGAGACCTTTCATCAGGCGGCTGGTCTGCCTGCCCAGCACGGGTTGGTCACGGACACCCTTGCTGTACGTCACCACTGGAGCTGCTGTGACACCGTGCCTGCACTTGCGTTCAGAGGCACTGAACCCTGGTCCTCATCCTGCTCCTGAGCCCCCAAGGGCTGCCGGCCCACAGCATCCTGCTACTGCCCAGCAGCAGGGACCGGGACTCCCGTGCCCCCCGGCCCTGCCTTGGGCATCGACAGCAATGGGGCAGTGTGGCCACGTGGACCAGCTCCCGGAGCGTCGTCTGCCCAGAGAGACCCGGGTGCACGGTCCCAGGCAGGAGAAGCTGCAGTCCCCCGAAACCTCTGCTGAGCTTCCCACAGTCCAGGGGCTGAACAGACAGACCGACGGGGCAGGGAGTGACCAGAGCACCCCTGACTGCCCCCTCGCTCAGAAGTGATCCCCCCACAGCCCCTACCCCCAGGGGCTGCTGCTACCCTGGCTATCCCGGCTCAGGGCAGCAACTCCCTGCCCCGTCTGAAGGGGCTTGACCGGACCCTTGAGACCCCCAGGCTGCTATAAGCATTTAAAGACCAGCCCAGGAGCCAATAGGAAAGCAGGCTTGCATCTCAAGGACCCTGCAAGGACCAAACACAGCGGCCCCCAGTGCATGAATTAAAGGGGCACCAAGGCGCAGATGCTCTTCCCCTGGCAGGTGCTGCTCGGTGGGGGCAATAGGACAGGAAGTGGCTCCATGGAGGCAGCAGGCAGGACCTAGCCGCTGAGAGCAGAGCGGGCATCCGGCGTCCCCCCGCCCGTGGAGTTTCACCCAGCTGCACTTACCGCAAGAACAGGAAGGAGCTTTGAAACCATGGCGGGGATGCAAGGGCAGCGCTGGTGCCCCGCCGGTCCCCGCTGACGTGTCGCCCCGACATCTGCCTCCCTCCGGAGCCGAGCCCAGCCCCCAAACAAGCCCAAGCCCTCGGGGAAGCAGCAGGGACTGGCCAAGCTGGGGGCAGAAGGGGGCACAGGGCCGCTGGGATGGGACCCCCGCTCTGCCCAGCACTTAGCAGCTCTCACCCAGCCCAGACCCCGGATGCTCGTCACAAAACCCAGGGCAAGTTTGGGGGCACATCCCAGCGAAACTAGCCCCCAAGCAGGTCTGCAAGCCAGGCCCGAGCCCGGGAGCTGGAGGCGAAGCCAGGTCAGCTCTTGCAGGAGGGGAGGGAGCCGGGGAGCACCCAGGTCAGAGCGCGGCTTGCCGGGCCCAGCTCCGGGACTGCAGGGGGGCAGAAGGGAAGCAGCTGCGCTCGCCGCCAGCCGTGACTGGCACCGCCGGGGAAGGGGAGCAGCTGCGAAATGGGCGCAGCTGGGCGCTGACCTGGCACCCGCCCCTGACACAGCAGCAGAGCCCTGCCGGCCCGCCCCAGGCACAGGTGAGCCAGACGCCCCAGCCAAGACGGGCACCCCTCACCTGTGCCCAGGGAACCACGCGCCGCCTGGCTGCCTGACCCGGGGGCAGCATCGAGGGCTGGAGGCCCCCGCTAGGTCCTCTCACCTCTTCCCCTCTGTGCTGGGGCTGTCTGTCGGCTTGCCTCTGCTTCCTTCCTTCCTTCCTCCACCCCCTCACAGCCGCCCTCCCAGGTTCCTCCCCAGCCCCTGAAAGGGTTACCCAGGCGGGCGGTTGATGGAGGGCAGGCAGCCAGGAGTCAGGGCCGGGCCGCGGAGGCTGATGCGCTGGGAAGGCTCTGGTGCCCCTGACACCACGGGGGAGGAGGAGGAAGGTGATGAAGTCGGCTGGAGCGAATCCACAGCTCAAGGACAGCCGGGCCGGGGGAGTGACCCCCGACACACACTGCACAAGGGAGCCGGGCAGCAAATCCTTCCCCCACCCGCAAGGCGGTGCAGGGCACAGAGCACCCCGGGGCACCCACAGGCCTGGCCGGGGGGGGGCACGGGACCCAGGTGTGATGCCCACGTGACCTGCACCACTACATGGGCAGGGGGCAGGACTGGTGCCGTTCCTGGCAGGGCAGAGGGGACTCTGTGCTATTCCTGGGCATTGCACGCCAGGGAGACCGAGTCAGGCCCCGAGCCCCTGTTCCCGCTCCGCGTAAAGGCAGAGCAGGGGCAGGGGGAGACGCCGGGCCCCGAGTGCAACACACCATCCCTGAGCCAGGCACGCCAGGCCCAGCACCAGCACAGGCAGCAACTCCCACACACCTCCCTCCCAGAGAGAGGGGGGTTGGGCTGGGCAGCCCTCAGGCACAGCCCTTCCCTTCTGTGCCTCAGTTTCCCCCGCCCCCCTGCAAAGGGCCAAGAGGCTGCAAGCCCCCCTGCAGCCATGGCAGGAGGCTCGATGGGGGACCGGGGGCACTGCTGGACCTGGGGCATCAGTCCAGGCTGGAGGACGTTGCACCAGGTCCGCTTTGGTTTTTGGGAGGAACCTCTGGCTGGCACCCCCCAGTGCACAGCCCTCGCCCGCCCAGGGCGTGGAGCTCCTGGGGTCTCTGAGCCTGGGACACCCCAAGCAAGGTGGAACATTGGGTCCCTACATGCACGCGCGTGTGCACACTTCTCTTCTCCGTGCAACTTGGAAGGGGAAACTCCAGCCTACAAAGCAGGCTCCAGCCCCGCTGTCCTCCGTGGAGGACGCGGTGACCCCCCAAGGCGGCTGGGGCAGGGGGGAAGTCCTAGCCCGTGGAAGAGACTTTGCCTCGCTGGGCCCCGGCCCGCTGCTCCAGGAACCATTCGCCTCTCGCTCGGCTGGGCCAAAGGCACCGGCAGTTGGGCAACGGCCCTGCCTCTCACAGCGCCTGCAGGCACCGAGCGAGGGCCCAGGAGCCCCTCTCACCCCAGCCAGACACTCACCGGCAGCAATGGGAAGAGGCTGTGACAGCAGGTGTGACGACGAAGGACCGAGGAGATGAACGACTGAGCAGAGCGGCACAGGGCAGGCGCTTCCCCCAACGGTCACGCCGACTCCACGCGCCGTCGTCTAAAGAAACAGCAAACTGAGCGAGACTGGACAGGAACAAAACTTAAATTCTCCAGGTCCTAAAGCCTCAGCGGGCCTGTAGCAGGCGCCAGCCCAGGGGCAGGGGGGCGTCTCGCCGCGGTTTCAAACTCAGCTCTAAAGAAGCGCCGGTCGGGGCCACCTGCTCAGGAGCAGAGGTGCTGAGTGCACCCCAACTGCTTGACTCTGTTACCTGGCTGTTGTCTATAGCTGCAGCTAAAAAGCACGGAGACCTTCCCAGTAGGTCTCGGTTTTATCCCCAGATGAAGCGTGCCTGGTTTTGCATCAGACCCCTCCACGGCCTGAAACCACCCCGGGAACTGGAAGTGGCCTCTTGCCCTTGGCTGACTTCTCATGACCTTCCTCGCACCGTCAAAGCCCTGCCTCACCTCTGCGCTGCCCCTTCCCCTCGTCCTCCTTCTCCTGCGAGTCTCAGGTCAAGGGAAGGCAGCGGAGTTTTGCACCTTACAGACTAACCAAAGCAGATGTATATACATAGTACGTGTCTAGCACACATATATGCACATACACGCATATGTACACACATATACATACATGCATATATATGCACATATATATGCAGGCATACACACATGCCCCTGCATACAGCTGCATATATACAGTCCACCCACCTACCCACCCACCCACCCACCCCCCGCACAAGCTTTTGCGAGCTGAAATGATATATATCAAGTTCAGCAAAGGAAATGCAAGTTGCAGGAAGGGAAGTTGAGGTTGGATATCAGGAAAAACTCTCCCGGAGGAGGGTGGCGAAGCGCTGGAACAGGGTCCCGGAGAGGTGGTGCAGTCTCCATCCTTGGACATTTTAAGAGCCGGGTAGACAAAGCCTTGGCTGGGAGGACGTAGCTGGGGCTGGGGCTGCTTGGAGCAGGGGGGCGGACTAGAGCAGCGTTTCTCTACCCGTGGGTCATGACCCAAAAGTGGGTCACAAGAATATATGAAAGGGTTGCAAACAAACTTAAAAAATGGATTCTCCTTTAAAGGAGAAAAACGTGGAAAATCATGGTTTCCCCCTCAGGAGGGCAGAGCCCAGCCTGCAAAGGGCTGCTTGGGGTCCCCCAAGCCCCACACACTGGGGGGCTCAGGCCTGAGGGTGGGGGGCAGTGGGTCGGGAGCGTGTGGCATTGGGTTGGGACTGACCATCGGGGTTTTATTAGAGCAACTAAACAGTTGGAAAAATTGCCCTTTGCAAACTCTCAGGCACAAACACTTACACTGCTGCAGTCGATCTACACACAGGTGCACATGCACACTCGTGCTCTGGTTAGTCTAGAAGGTGCAAACCTCCCCTGCTTTCCTCTCTTCCCCCCGCAACCTCCCGCCCAGCCAGCGCTGGACCCTCGTCACCCTTAGTCCTGTGCCATCTCCCACCCCCAGCGAGCTGAGAGAGCTGGGCAAGGGGGCACCGGGGCACGCCAGGCCTGGGGGTCGTGGGTGGCGAGCACGCGCTCCAGGGGCAGGGCTGGAGATGGCCCCCACCCCCCCCATGCTCGTCTGCCAGGGCCCTGGGCGTGCAAATGCACCGGCAGCAAAGCCCCGCAAGGTGCCCCGGGGCAGAGAGCAGCCCCCAGCCAGGGGGGCAGACACTCCTGCAGCTGCCCCCACCTCTGCAATGCCCCAGCCCCCATGCCACACTGCTGCATGGCAGTGCCAGCCCCCCATGCACCCCAGACCGCCCGCCCTGCAGGCCCTGGGGGGGGCAGGGACCTACCGGGTGGGGCTC